TCAGTAAAGGAAATGATGTTGGATTTACCATGAGCCTTGCAAACATGGATCTGCATTTCAGGAAACCAGCATACACTGGTGGAAGGTTCTGAACAACAGGACCTAGATTGAAACAGAGATATTTTTACAATCCCAAATGGCAGGGACAGTCTCCTGAAGGCAAGTCATTGGTTTTAGACTTTATTAGACCCTTACTTTAATTACCACCTCATTACTTGCTTTGCTTCTACAAAAAGTATTCCATACTGTCATTTTTCCCTAAGTAACTGGAAATGTGATTGAAAGGGATGTTTAAAGTGAGACTAATTCAAGATTAAATAGTCACAAATTATATTATTGCTACATGTAAACAAATTACTTGCATATCTGATTTTATTCAGATTACTTTTCAAGTGGTAAATAATGCTTTATCACTTATATAGTGCTCTTACATCTTTAGAGTGCTTTTCTCACATTAATTAATCATCATTAAACACTCTGAGGTGGGTAGGTTAATACTATTATCCCCATTTTGCAGATGAAGAAATGTAGACTGAGAGGTTGTGATTTGCTCAAGGCCATATAGAAGAAACAGAATCAGAGCTGGGATTAGATCTGTGTCCCCAGCTTCTAATTTCAGAAGACCAGCCAGATTGTCAGCCACAGTTCTGAAGCAAAGTGCTCAAGTGTGCATGTAGAACCAGCAGACATTTGTTTGGCCTAACTTGCAACTTGTTTAAAGGGAAACTTTGCTTTTGTGCTGTGCTTCACATTTCCACCTTCATACTTGCAATTGTGGACGTGGCCTCTCATTCATTTAGGATCTCTTCCTAATCTGATGCAACATTTTTATTTTCATCATTTTCATTGAATTTAACTTCCATCTCAGAAACTTAAAAGTTTCTAATTCTCTGGACTTGAACGTAGCTGCACAACTCACATAAAGCAGGTTCAGCATTGGTGCCCCACACTGCCTGCAGGTGATACCAGGACCAGCTCTGTTACTTAAAATTTTCACAAGCTGAGACTTAAATAAGGTTCTGACTTGGCAGCTTGTTTTATTGCTGTTCAGAAGGGATGAGGGAGAATTATCCTCTGTGTGCTGAACCCAGCACCTCTGTAGGCAGTGCTGAGCTTCTCAGTAGGGAGAAACATTCACTTGCGTGTTCCCCACCCTGGAGAAGTACCTCAATAAAGCAGTGTAGTCTGGGAATGGAGAGCAGAAGAGACCTCTTTGTGCCACCACTTTGTTAATCAGAAGCGCCAGAGAGAATTACATTCAGCTTTAGTAATGGGAGCACCTGCAGAAGTAACAGATCAGGAAAAAATAAGGTGCAGGAAGGAAGTGCCCTTGTACAGGCAGGTGAAAACCTGCTGGGGTGGTGTGGGATAGGTTGGAGACCCATGGCACATACAGGTAAGGATCTGCTTTGTGCTGCAGCATCCTTTTCACCTGTGCTCATTGCCAGGGAAGTGTTGGAAGTGACTCCAGAGCCTGGCTGCTGAGTTAGGAGCTCTGGCTTCCCCTGCCGGCCCTGAGCAGAGTCAGTGGTTGTAACTCAGCCTGCAGAATCAGTGCACTGCTTTTTCAAAGTGCTGCTCACTTGAATTCATGGAGGAGATTTTGAACTCTTTGAATACAAGATGATGGAGAAGGTAGTGTGTAAATAGATAGGGAAGGGAGGATGTGTTGCAGAGAGAAGCAATTCCCTGTCTTTGCTCAGCTGCTGAAGTCCTTGGCTGGATGAGGAGCTGCTGGGGGTGGTTTGGAGTCATTAGCCTGCAGTCTGCCCTGGGATCACACTGCTGAGCTGGAGCTGGGGACACCTGGGGACACCTGGGGACACCTGGGACGTGAGCACAGCTCTAAAGCTGATCCTCGCGCTCTGCTTGTGACACCTACAAACGAGGGATTCCCTAAAAGCAGCAACACAGGCAGCCCCAGAAATAGCTCAGGCACGTAGCAGTGAGAGCAGAGCAAGCACATCATCTGCTGCAAGGTTTGGTTTAATCCAGCAGGAATTTGTGCCTCCCCTGTCCCCAGGGGCTGCAGTGGAGCTCCCAGGTGTGGTTCTGGTGGGTCAAGGGCTTGAGAAGCACTGCATTTTAACAACTGGCTATTGGTTAAAGGGAAGGAAACAAGATACTTGCCTGTTTGCTTTCTTTTAAGACTATGGAATATGTTTTCTGACAGTGGATCCTGTTTTAATAACCAGACCCATGATTAGGTAATGTTAAGTCTGCTGCAAGAGTAGTTTAATAAATATTTTAGTATGCAGATAAGCCACTGATAACCATGTGCATTCACAAACTCATACATTTTTATGCCTAAAAGGGGAGAATTCAGAGTTTGTTGATACTGCTTCCCTATGATGCCTTAAAAGTAAGGCATACTTGGTGGCACTAGCTGTCCAGGTAAATTAAACTCAAGTGGATAAACAAGCAGATCATTTATTTTATTTACCCTAAAAGGGTTTTTCATTCTTTAATTGTAACTCTGGATATAAATTATGTGTGGAAGATAGACTAATGATTTTCCTGTGTTTGATTAAAGGCAAAAAATCAAAGATTTGTTTATATATTTATCTATTTGTTTCTTTGCTTTGATAAGACCAGTTGTTATCCAAACAGTGAGACTGACCTAATAAAGGTCATATGCATAATTGATCTCCATCTGTTTTTCAATATTTATTCTCTCTATTCTTTAATAGACTTCAGTTCCAGAAGTGCAGCCTGCAACATTTTTAAGGTGGTATATTTTGGCACTTCTGTAAAAGGTCTCATTTTATGCTGGCCACTGAAATGAAAAGGTTTGCTGTTGGTTCCACCCTTTGGTATCCCTTCAAGAGAGATTATATCAAAGAAGAAGAATTAAATTAAAATTGATTGGTGTTATTGATTTTTCTCTTTTTTATTTATTTTTTTAAGGGGGATAAAGGGTGATGGAAACAGCATATGCCCCTATGCTGTTTTGCTGATGGACTGTTTCTTAAAAACATAAAAAGCATATGTGCCCAATTTACATATTTACTAATTAAAAAAGCTTCCTGGAAACATTAAGTAGACTATCTTCTGCAACCTTTAACATTGTGGCTAATGGATATAGCCTGGAAATTTTCATAGAAGGTCCTCTAAATAATGTAAATGATTATGAATATGTAACTAGTTAATATGCAGCTACGAAAGGATTATCATGTAGAGGTTAATGAACATGCTGCTCTTATGGTTTGCAGGGCTTTTCTTTTTGTGCTTTCAGCTCACTTCATGCATGGAAAGTCATGTATTGGGAATGGAAAGCTTCCTGTCTTTTCCATCTTCATCTGTAATGGGGCAATTAAATGGAAACTTTCTTAAAGGATTTCATAAACATTCTTGTATGCTAAATTATGTTGTGTACTTCACATTCACTGCCAAATGTGAAAGGATGAAGGATGTGGATAGAATAGGCTTGGACTCCTCAACTTGTTAGTGAGGGGCTCCAGTGTGCCTTGGCTTTGTTACCAGACAATTTATGTCTCCTGCAGAAACTTTACTCTTAAAATGGGCTTCATATTAACAGTATGAATTAGATTTCTGGCTTGATGTCCTGTACAAGTCTGTGTATTTACTCTCAAGCTTAAAAATAGTTGCCTTGCACATTAAGGAAGATATTTTGCTAGGCATTTGATTTGTAGGAGTTTAAAGCAAATGATAAATTTAAACTTGGCTTATGTGGGATGAGCTACCTGGCTGACTTTCCTGATGGATTATGAAATAACATAACCACAAATGTAAAGCTGATCCTTTTCATTTAAGAACTTTGCTCTGTTTAAAGAATTATTAGCTCACAAAGTAGTCCCATTTTTTTTTTATTCCTGCATGAGTAGGAAGTGCAGGGTCTGAGATCTGTTGTGCAAAAGCTGCACATATGCTAACTGAAAAAAAAAAGTCTTTCATTCTGTTGTTTGGGGAAAAAAAAAAGAATTATCTGCTCCAGTGATTTCAGTGGTACTTGAATGTATGTTATTGTTTTCTCTGCAGATTTTCTCATTAATTGCTTTCGAATGTTAGCATTATTTTGGCTATAGGAAAAACGAAATTTGTAAAAAAAAATCTAGAAAATGCTTGTATTGAGAAGCTGTCTAGACATATTTAACTGCCTCGTGGCTTCATTGCATTTCATATAATTGAATGAAATTGTTTGTGTTGTATTTTTGGTAACTATTATTCAGAGATCAGAATATGTTTTGAAAGACAAAATCTCCATGTAATTGTGGCAGAGAAGGTCACAGGTTTCAGTATCCTGCCTGTTTGCTATATATAGTCTAAAAATTGCAGTTAAAAAAGATAAAAGTATTTAATTTAACAGTGTTAATTAAGACCTTTATTTTGTTAAGAGCTTTATTTTGTAAATTCTTTTGTATCTCTTTGGAAAGCCTGTGGCATAAGGGAGTAAGTGAAATACCTTTTTTGACACCCAGAAAGAAGAGAAGCCAGCAGCCCATCATGGTGTCAAATGCCTATGTATTTACACAGCACAAAGTTAATTTGGGCTTTTTCAAGCTAAAGTGGCCAGTGGAGACATTTGTTGATGTACTGATAGAGGAAAAATGTTTTTGGTGCTGTGAGATTCATTTGTTCTGCTTTTTAATGACTGAGTATGGGAGTTACATTGATGTCTTGTTATAATTTATGTTGTTTTCTTATTCTGCAAACATGTAACACTGAAAATAGATCGGCAGATTGCACAAACTGCTACTTATCTCAGATCCTGTGTCACCTAATAGTTATGGAGCAGGTATTGTACCGAAATAAGAAGCGAAAAGCTGTGATTTTTTCCTGTGGTTATCACTCTGCATTAGCCTGTGATAAAGTGTGCTGCTTAAGAACGACCATTCACACGCCTTTGCCCTGACAAATAAAAATGTGGATGGAGGCAGCACCAAATCTGTAAAGCTCCTGTTCTAGTTTCTGATGCATTGACATTGCAGCTGTGTGCTTAGCTTTGTTTTTTCACGAGTAGTTATCTGTTTTAATGACAGGTGGTCACTGGCTGCCAAGAAAAAATCCAGCACTGGTAAGTAAAAAAAGTCTACATGTCTAAAATACTGATGAGTAACCTAGTTTATGTTTGAGTAAAGTATTGCTGTTTATTCTGATGGGAGTCAAATCCTGCTAGCATGTTTTGGGGATTAGAGTTAGTGATAGCTCAGAATTGTTGCAATGTACTCTCCTTAAAATATATTTATTTCTCACTGATACAATTAAATTACAAATACAGTGAGCCTCAGTGTTTATCCTTCTGTCTTAAAAACCTATCTCATCTGTCATTTTGCCCAAGTAACCTCGTTGGATGAATGCTTAATCTGCCTGAATGGTGACAAGGTGCTCCCAGGGTAGAATTATTGTTGTTTTCTAACTATGGAGCAAGTAGGGAAATTCCACTTGTGCTGAAACAATGTGGAAAGTAATGTTTCTCTGATACTCCCCCCCCAAGTAAAGTGCATGCTAAAGCTTAGTTTTTAATACTTAAAATAAATGGTTTGTTATATTAAAAAAATTATCTCTGGGCATTTTTTTCTCAGTTGGCAATCTATGGTTAATAGAAAACATACCTAGTAAATAATAGTTTTGTATGGCATCTGAGGAAAATGTACATTTAATGGTGAATGAAATCTTATATTATGAGTTACTGTGAGATATAACAGTTGATCTTACAGATATCAAATTACAATATATCCATGCTGTGTTTACCATGATTTTACTGAGAGAACAACAGGAGCTGTCTTGATTATTGTCTGCAGGGTTATTGCAGAATCACAGCAACTGCCCCTTTAGTGGTGAGATTAAACCTTTGGTTATACACCATCAAGCATATAATATTTTAAATTTATTTTAAGAGGCTTTTTCTTCATGCCTGAAAGATCTCCAAGCAAATAATTTATATTTAGTGTGTATCAAATGTTTTTAGTTTAAATGCACATAGGCTGCAAGCGCTGGATAAGAGGAAAAAAAATCAAGGCAATCTATACACATCATCATATTAAATTCTGACTATTGGCTCGCAAAAATAATCTAAAACTAATATGTTTCATTTATGTTTAAAATTCAGAGGCTGCATTAATTTTCAATAAGGGAAATATTGAAGTGCCTACTGGTGCTGCTGTGGTGAAGGCAGGCAGAACATCTCCAGCAGTTTCTCAGGAGCTTTGCAGTGTCTGTGCCTGCTGGCTCCCATGTGAAATTCTGCATGTGCATTCTTCCACTCAGACACAGGACTTTTCAGAAATAAACTATTGGCAGAAAGCTGCAAAATTTGAACAGATTTTTGAGCGTTTAGAAAATTGTGACAATTCTTTTCCTTTTTACAAGGGCTGAGGTTTGTGGAGTGCCCTGGGAGTGTTGGTGTTGGAAGGAGGAGTTGCTCCTGTGCTTGCTTTTATGCAAACTCTGGCAATGACCCCATGAACTTGGGGGTTTTGGCCACAGAACCCCTAATGAAAAAAATAACTTACTGATTTATTTTATATAGAAAAGCAGTTTTTGTAGCATCCATACAATCTTTATTTCATAAAAAAAAAATTAAAATTTAGTACTCTTATTTAGATCTTGATTGTGCAAGAGCTGAGTGCTTTTGTTTCAACTGAATAATTTGCTCATGTAAGACCTTTAAGTAGTCAGTGACACAGAAGGATGTTGAATAGAATTGGGTGAATAACAATAGGGTCTTAAAATGCTCAGCTTCAGTATATTTCCATTAAATTATTTTCCATTTTTCAGTGCACTTTTTGAAGTATATTTCTAAAGCCATGAATCCAGTAATGGGTTGGGTGTGGGATTAGTAGCTAGACATGCATTTCCCCTTCCAGGGACATGTTCAGAGCTGGAGTTCAGTATTCCTCCTCCCTGTTCCCTTTGGTTCTTCATTGCTCCTTGTAGCACTGGCACACCCCAGTGCTTGTGAAAGCATCAGCCATACATGAAGAGAGAGCTTCCTTCCTGAAGTAATGCTGTTTGAGGCCAATTATTTAAAATGATCAATTTAAATTTCCTTTATTTGCATGGCCCAGTTCAGGATGTGACCCCACTTTTTGAGATTGCCATGGTGGAGGTTTGCTCAGCAAAGGGCAGCAGTCCCAGTACAAAAAGCAGGATTCTTTGCTTCTACAGTAGCACAGCTTCTGTGGCAAGTGATTTCTCCTGGCCCTGATCAGATTATTCAGTTACACACAGCAGTCAGACCTTAGTGTCTTCTTTTCAGGTTAATGAAGAAATGTTGAGTGACTTTCAGCCATGAAATGATGGAAATGTTTAATCCTGCTGTGAGGGGGGGATTTTCATGCCAGGCTCTTCCCACGGAGTCTTCTCCTGCACTTGAGACATGTGCCAGGCCTTGTTTTTCAGTGGCTGCTTGGAGTCCATTTCTCAAATCCTGTTCTCCTGAGGCGAAGGCTGGGTTCTGTAAATAGCATTAAATAATTGATTGTTATTGTTGACACCAAGTTTTCATTATTCCTTCCTCCCCCAAAACATCTCAGTGCATTTTGCTAAGATTCATGAGTTTGTCCTTCTTCTTTGAAGGAAGTGAATTATGTTTTCACTCTTATGTGGGCAAGGGACAGAAAGACTTGCCTAAAATGTCTGGGAGAAATCTGCTGTCAGAGCAAAGCAGCAGCAAGCATCTTTTGTAAATCAGTTCTGTGGAATATGGTTTTAATGTCCAAGTGGCATAAAAACCCAAATTCTTTTTTTCAGGATGAGTTCAACAACTTAAAATAGGTATAAAGTAGGGTGGTTACACCAGAGTTCAACTGTGAAGCAAATGAGTCAAACATAAGAGTATCAGATAATTTTTCAAAATGAATGCTGAAAAAGATTTCACTCTGCTTATGAATCTAAGAAAATCAATAGTAATATTTTGAGAGTTGTGTTATCAACTGTGACATTCATTTTTCAGCACATTTATAGATTGCTTTCCTGAATCATCCTCAGAAAACCTGTAATTTGCATCTTGGGTCAGCATTGTTAAGTGTGCTGCTCTGTGCTTTCAGTTGCCTTTTATTGCAGAATTTACTACCATATATATGTTTATTGTTTTGAAAGTACAAGTAAACAATATCATCAAAGCTGACATTTATATGCCAGCTACTTCATGCAGGAGCTGATTTCTGACCATCTTTAGAATGGCAGGGGTCCATTAAAAGACTTTTTTCAGACAAATTTAAGTATTTAAGAATGCATTTACAAAAAAAGGCTTTTTTAGAGGGAGCGTAGTTGCTTTTGCACACAGTAAAATCCCTGCAGCCACTGAAACACTGTTTGTTACAAAGTCCTGTGGAAAGCCAGGTGTCTGCCATGGGAATGAATTCCTTGTCCCAGTTCACCAAACCATTTCTCTCCTGGGTAGCAACATGTAGCATGAGCCTTATTTACAGTTTAGGTGGAGAAGTATCAGAAGGGATGCTTGAAGATGTGACACAATCCTGGTGGTTGAGCCATCTTTCAGGAGTGTTGACTCTTGATAGGAATACAAAGTTAATGGGAAAATCAGAATTAATTAAAATTTTGCTCATTTATGTCAGCTCAAACCGAGGTCAGTGTATGAGCTCTGTATTACAAATGATAATTTGAAGAATTTGCCTCTTAAAAAGCATAAACTGGATTTTCAGTTCTTTTTCTAAATATTGGTGGTGTTATAACTCGGGCTTGAGCATGGAGTGAGATACTCCAAATCCTAGTGAAAGAACTGCTTCTTTGCACCATGAAAAATTCCAATTCTGAACAAGACATGCACAATCTAAAATAATCATTTACCTATCTTAATACACATTATTAGAAAATAATCTAGCTATTATGTTTGTCATCCCATGTCTTTTAGAAATGAGTTATTAATCTGTCAGCTGTATGTGTTAGAGTAAAACAGTTCATTTCTCTGTAGTTTTGTTGTTTTTTGATTTAGTAGCAGAAAACCATTAACTCTTTAGCTGTGAAATTGAACCAGTCTGAATTTGTCAACAGGAAGAAGGTGGAGAGTGATTATGAGGCTCTTCAGGAGCGACTGCAGACATTGCCTGACAAGTTGTCCTACGATGTCATGGTATGTACATGGCAGAGGTCACACAGGAAAATGGGCTAAAACTGTTCAACCTGGGCTGCCTGCACTGGGGGGGAGGTGTTAGTCAGGTTGCCAGTACTTAGTAATGTTACATTTGTTATGATAATAGTTAAACCTTTGCTTTTGTTTCTTTCTCTTTTCTTTGAAATCCATTATAAATTACAGTGTTACTGACAACTGAAAGCTGATGACATAAATGCTTAACACAAAACCTGACATGTTTGATATGTAAATCTATTGTATAGAAAACGATAATTATGACTGAATTATGGTACTTAGTCATTTCCTGAGAAGCAAGTGGCTGTAGTATTTCCTGATTCATGGAAATAAACCCTAGAACATTGATTTTTACATAAAAAGGTGCTGCTAATTTTTGTTCCACCAATCTTCCCATTGACATAGCAATCTTTTCTGGTGCTCTGAATCTTCCCTAACAACTGCACAGCTCCCTGTGTAAAATTTGCCCTGTTGGCTTGCACTCACTAAAATTTTGAACAAATTGGCTTCTCTTTCTCTTTTTTCCTCTTCCTTTCTCAAGTTCAACTCAAGATACATCCTTGAAGCCAGGGAAGTTGTACTGCACATAACTGAGTGGCTGATTTCAGCACTCAGTGCCTGACTGTCTTCCTTGGGAGCCTGGCTTAGATGCAGAGTTGGGTTTTTAGTCAGACAATTTGGAGTACATTTCATCATGTGGGAAAAGGGAGGGTTTCCCATTGCTGTGCTGGTGATACAGCTCTGGTTTTGTGTAGAGTCCATTTCTCATGTGTGTATGTGTGGCCACATGATGTAAGACATAAAGATTGTGTTGTTTCAGAGCATAGAAACTCTTTAAAGAAAGCTAGATAGTGCTTATTCTTAGTTGAAGCAGCAATGTTAACTCACATCTGTTACTTTAAATGTATAGAAACAGTTCCTATCCTGTTAGCCAAATATTTTCATATGCTTTTAATTTTGCTTAATTTTGCTTTCATCATTTTGGGGGAAGAGTGAACAGGCAGCTCGTGCAGTCTGCTACTTTAAAACCAAGTCAGGGAGGGCACATGTGTAGGAAAAGCACATTGTGCATAGTCTTAGAGTCAGGGTCCTGCCTGCTGGAGCGCTGTTTCCAGCACTGGGATATGGAACAGAGGGAACATTGCTTTCCAAGGAGATCCACTGGGCCAAGTGCTCTGCTTCAGCACAAACACAATGAAAAAGCAAGTGGCTGTGCTGAGGAACTGAGGAGGAAGGAATAAAGTAGAGGGAGCTGATAAAACCATCTGACATAGATCTCTTTTTACCCTAAAAAGAGAGAGACTTGATGTGGATGTGGACTTCATGCCACCTCCATTTTAGATGTAATTTGATTTTAGTTTCTGAATTTCTTCACGACTGAAGCCCACAGGCAGCCAGGCAGGTGGCAGTGGGCCTGGGGTCACAATGCCAGGACAGGGGACAGGGGTAGGGGTGGCCAAGGCTCCTCCTCACCCAGAGGACTTGCCCAAGCACTGCCTGTAAAATTTAGGCAGTAGAAGATGTCTTAAATCATATACCCAGTGTCCTGGATGTTGCAATGCTTGTTCAAATGGGGGATTCACATTTTAGGAAGTGGATGTTAAGTTCTGAAATGTGATTGTCACCTGTGTCCTCCTGCCTGAAGTGTCCTGCTTTTATCTGTTGTCCTTAGCCTGGAGAGCAGTTAGAGGGTGAGGGTGCTTGTGGAGCATCCCTGGGAGGTTGAGGTTTGCAGCCTGGTGAAGGACCCAGCAGAGATTAAACACTCTGTGGTCCTGCTGGGAGCTCCAACGTCTTACACTGGAATTTCTGGGTACTTAGTATGAGCAAAACAGATTCTGAGAAGAGCAGCTCATCTTTGAGTTGATCATACCTATTTATTTCAAAAAATATTATTAAATATTTCAAAATAATTTAGCAAAGCTAATCTGGCTTTTATTAGGAAATGGATGCTGTCTGCATATAACTCAAATAATTTGTATTATCAAGGTTTGTATGTTCAGATGAAGTGAATTTGTTTTCCAAGTGAGCATTGAGCTGTATTATAGTTCTGTGTCACAAAACAAGTTGTCTGGTGAAATTCAGGTTTTCACATTTTGTAAGTACAGTACAAAATTCAAACAGATCTGATAATTTGAATATTTATGATGGGTTATTCACTGAATAGCTGCTATAGAATTTTTATTTTTATATAATCTGTGGTTTACTTTTTTAAAAAATTGAAGACCTGTATGACTTGCTAAGTTTTATTTTCATTAGTAATGTCTATGTCTTTGGCAGGTACCTTTTGGTCCTCTTGCCTTCATGCCAGGAAAGCTTGTCCACACCAATGAGATCACTGTTCTGCTGGGGGACAACTGGTTTTCCAAATGCTCAGCAAAGCAGGCCATTGAGCTGGTTGAGCACAGGAAAAAACGTATGTATGTTTCTGAACATAATTTAATGGTTAAAATTATGTACCTTGTATTAACATATAAAATTAATGATATCTAGGCTGTTTTCTTCTCTTTTTTTTTTTGTGAGCTCACAAACAGAAGTCCCATTCAGGTGTAATATTAGCTTAGCACCTTATGTTCCATCCTTGCTTGAGACATGATTGGATATGTCTAATTAGGAGAAGAAACCTAACTAAAAACCCCCTTTCACTTTTTTTAATGTAGCAAAGAGGAGAAGTAACCACTGCCTTGTGCTTTTGCTCTTGGTTACCTTATTCCTTATATTTTGTTACCTTGTCTTGTTTCTTAATTGTTTACTGCCTTGTCTCCTGGGTTTTGGTTGTTGTTGGTTTTTTTTTGGTTTATTTGGGTTTTTGGTTTTCTTTTTGGGTTTTTTTTGGCTTTTGTTTGTTTTTGTTTTTATGGGTTTGAAATTTTTTTTGGCCATTTGGTTTTCCATTTTTTTCCCTCTCTCTGCACATACTTTGCTCCTGCTTGTTGGTTTTTATGTTTGCTGCTCAGCTGCATTTCTGCCTCCTGCCCTTGATGTTCCTCTGGTGTGATCTCCTGGATCTCCCCAGGTCCAGTGCAGTTGATCACCACCAAATTCAACTGCATAGAAACCCACACAGGGGCAGAGAGGCAATGCCTGGGTTGGTTTCCAACTCTTTGTAGCTGCTACTGAGATCTTGGCTTTGAAGAGCCAGGATCAGAGCAAGAGCTGTGCATGGTATGCTTTGGAGCTTCTTTATGATAGAAAGGAGGAGAACCTAAAATATTTGATGTAAATGGCCAGGAAGAAAAACCACAACAAAATGGAAAATTAATTGGTGCCTGTTAGCCTTTGTTGTTTGCTTCAGACAAGCATTTGAGTTGATTTTTTCATTTGGGTTTACCTATGTACTTGCCATTCCTCAGTGGGTGCTCACTGCAGCTTTGCCCTGTGTCTATCACAACTACCACAACTATTTACCCTGGATTTTTGTTTGACTGCAGCTATCCATGTTGCTGCTTGCAGCAGAATACCCTAGAGGTTCCCCATCTGAATAAGCTTCTTTTTCCAATTCTGTGCAGGTAGTATTAATGTAAAAAGACTTGAGGATTTTTTTATAAAAATTCATTTGCTGTATTACTTTAAAATACTCCTTTATGAAGACCATTGCCAAAAGTATCTAATTTGTATTTTACCTATTATCTTTCTTAATCTGGTTCTCCTGACACAACTTTGCAATTTTCTTTCTTACTGAACTGAATCTACATTATTTATTGTGACTCTTGTGAGATCTCAGGTCCAGATCTTTTCCTTTGATCATCTGATATTTTTTCAGTGCTGCAGAATACTTTTGTCACTGTTACATTCAGTGAAATCATTTGACCTTTGCATAGTAGGTGTTTGAACATTAAGTAGTCTGCTGGGAGACACACAATAAATGCTGGATTCTTTCCTTTATGATCTTTTAAATTGCATTTAAAATACAAACTCAGAAATACTAATTTCTTTCAAAGCAAAATAGTCATTGATGCTGGATGTAAACCCTCCATTCAGCTGATAGTTCACTTCAGCTGTGTGATGGCTGCCAGTGGGAGGCTCCAAAACACTGGTATTAACTAAAAACTTTTTTTAAGGACCGTTCTCAGTTTTAGATGGTAAAAAACATATTAGTACATACGCTTCTGAAAAAGGGTTACCTCTTTCCTGGATACACTTTTGTCCCTTAAAAAATACAACTGACTTAAACACTTTAAACCATTTTCATGCTAAATGAATGCAACTTAGAGAATATTAGAGATTTTATTAGTTTGTTCTAAGGAGAAAAGTTATGTATGTGAAAGACCTGTAGGCCATTGCTGTGTAATATGAATTGGCTGCTTGTGGCGCAAATTTGCAAGACTGATTTTTGGCAAGTATTAGTTTAAAGTGTCTTTTGTGTGTTTATTGCACTGCAGTTACTTTCACAGGTGTGACTTCTGTTTTTAGTGGCATTTTGGGAGCATAGTTTACAGGGTGCTGTGTATTGGGCATTATCATCACTTTGAGACAATGGGATTTGATTTTTGTACATAATCTTTTTGTTTTGGACATAAATTGCAAGAGTAGGTCACACACACTGGAAAAAGAGGGCAGGCTCACTGCAGGGGATTACACTGCCAGCAGTCCCCAATGTCCTGCATGCCAGGCAAGGTCCTGACAGGGCAAAGCTTTTTTAAGCATGTGTTTAAGGCCAGTGTGTACTTAAAGGCTTTGATATATATGAATTGGGGGCTGAACAGAGAGCAAAGTGAGGCTTATGCTGAAATAAACCTGGCTGTATTTGTTGATGGTTTGTTTCTTCAGTGACCTACATTTTTTTTATCCAATATTACTCTGTTTAATTTAGATGGTTGTTTTTTTCATAACTAGCTGGTCAGATCTGTTCAGATAACTGAAACAAACTTAATTACTACAGCCCTAGTAATTCAGTGCTTTAGCAGGAGGTAGGACTGCAAGGAAATAAATAAAGGACATTTTCATTGCTCGTTTTGTCTCTTGTGTCCCATTCTGCTGAATGGTGAGGAGTGGGAGAGCATCTGCTCAGGGTTCAGGCTGTCCAGGGGGACTGACTGTCAGGTACAAAGGGGTAGGAGATTCCTAGAACAGTTTTGGGTGTTCTCCCTTGCTGGTTCTGTGAGTTTTCCTGCTAGCCTTTGGCTCATGTGTGTTGGAGACCTTTGGTCACCAGGGCTGTCCCTGCTGGCCTTGGAGCCCCCCAGTGCCTTTAGGGAATTGAATCAAAGCTCACAGGACATTTTCTTTACAGTTTGACTCCCTCTGTGCATGTTGGGTGCACACAAGAATGGAGAATGTGAATTTGCATGCTTAAGCAGCAGTAGTGCCTGATAAATCAAACAAAATCAGTGAGGATAAAGCCTTGGAAGTTAGGGGTAGCAGTAAGAGTGTACTATATATAAAAGCTTTAAATATTACTTAGTACTAATTAGGTCATCCTTTTTGTCTTAGTAGTTTTGTTAAATTTGCTTTTTAAAAGAGAATGAGTGAAAAAATGTTTGCTTCTGTGGAATAGAGAAATGCCCAGCCACAGTAGATTAATTTCTTGGTTAAAATTTATTTAATTGAAAGGAATAATTGAAGGGTGACTGTACTGAATTTTAAATGCACTTTAGCTGACATAGCTGTAGAAAGTCCTATTTTGGGGATACATTTCTGTTTGCTTAGCTTTTGATATAGATGCAAATTGTTCAGCACCGTGATTGGTTGAAATGTATTTGGTAAAATTTGGGACAGTCACTCATGTCAAATGTTACTTTTTCATCAAATATTGATCGTGTCTTCTTGAATAATATTTGAGTTGCAGTAGGTCTTTAATTTGCTGTGCATTTTTGTGACATTCTAGGTATTTAGTTAGTTCCAAAATAGTTAATAAATAGAGTGAATTTTATAGAATTGCCAAGTATATTTTTAATTGTTTTAAATTCATTGCAGTTCATTAAACCAGGTAATACAGATAATGGGAAACACTTCACACATGTGTTTGTGTGTAAAAATGTGAAGAAATAGTGAAGTAGATTAAAGGATATGCACACCAGATTCCATTAAAATAAAAGAAATTAGCTTTTTAAGTATGTCACAGTTTAGCACAACAATAACGCAATTGTACTTTTTTTCTCCTACAATTATCTTGCTTAAGGTACTTCATAATATTTCTGTTCTCCTCAAGGCAAGACTGTATTGTCTCAGAATTCAAAGAGGGAATAAAGATTCTTTTTGTGAATATGGGATTATATCTTTTACGTGTTTGTGATGATATAAATTACATTTCTTCTCTATATCAGTAATCGCATTAATTCTTTAAGATGCGAAATTTTTCATTACAATAGTCCCTGTGGTAGTTACTATAGAAAGAAATTAAATAGATTTTTCTTGTAAATATTTGTGGATTAATTCAGTATGCTAGGTATTCCAAGTGTCTAAACATTTTAAAAGGTGGGAAATTAAAGCATGCACACAGAACTAGGAGTGGTTTTATTGTGTTAAAAATTTATCAGATAAAAAAAAATCCCACTTAAAGGAGAATTGTTGAACTACTTAGCAATTGTGTCTTCTGTATATGTAAGAATACCCTTGCAGTGTCATGCTGCAAATGAATTCATGAAATGAAAATACTGATTACATTAACATACAGTATTGTGATAGTCCCCAATTGTAAATTGCAGTGTGTAACCCCTAATACAAATATTTGTGTCAATCAAAATTGACCGATAGCTCAGGATACAGGGTTTAAAAGATACCATTGTTTTAATGAGATGATCCGGGTGGATGAGGACCAGTTTGAATTTGTTCCTTATCAGCATTTCCAGAAAAAAAGGTTTTGTCTCCAAAACACATGATAGGAAGGCTTTCCATTTCCCATCTGTGAATGAGTGAAGCCTTTAGAGGTTTTAATGTTTTATCCAAGGGTAAAAATATCTTCCCTGATATTCTAAATAATGTAGCACTAACTCGTCTACTTGCAGTTTTTGGGGTTGAGAACAAAAAGTGCAGGCAGTGCTACAAAGAGATTCAGCTTTTGCTTTTCTATATTAAAAAAAAGCATTTTTCTGCTCTTTTTTTGCTCAGCAGAGAATTATGTTCCACTGTGCTTTTAAACTTTTTTTTACAATTTTTTGCGATTATCACTTCTTAGTTTGATAACCTCCCTCAGTTCCTTCCTTACCCTTGCTAAGTTAGGAGCTGATTCGATGCAGTGCTAAGTGCTCTAAATTTGCTCTGCAGTTCCCTGGAGGTGTTTGGCTTCTCACAGGACCACAGTCTGGGTATTTTAACCAGAACACACTGGAACAAAGTAAGGAGAATAGACTCCTTTCTGTAAGTTCCATACTGTGATTCAAATAAGCCCTTACCTTTTTTATGATTCTTACTGGGCAACAGAGGAGTTGTCTGAATGCCACCCTCCTTCATTTAGGAGGAATTTAAATGTCTTCA